CCGTCCGCCCCCCCCCCCCCCCCCAGCGCTGCTAGTGAGCGGTACAGCAGCATGCCGCGTTCTCTGCGTAGGCGGTCCCACCGCGCTCACCCCTTCCTTCTCACTCCCGGAACCTGACGTGAAGCGCGTTCGCCTGCTCGCTTACAGAAGCAAGCCAGCCATCGGTGTAGCCACTGGTCCTCTGAGCACGCTTTGTCGAACGCAAGCCCTGGGATCGCTTCCGACCGTGCTGGTCCTCACGTGACTCTCCTTTCCTTGTCTTTGCAGGAGCAGGCCCAGGGAACCATGCTGAAAGTCCTCACGTCTTTTAAAAGCAGTGAAATAGAACAAGCAGTGAATTCCTTAGACAGAAATGGCGTTGACTTGTTAATGAAGTACATTTATAAAGGATTTGAAAAGCCAACGGAAAATAGCAGTGCAATATTACTTCAGTGGCATGAAAAGGTACGTGTTTGGTGCTCTCTTGGCTCAGCCACGCTCCGCAGGGTCCTTGCCAGTGCGCTCGTGAGAGCCCCCGCAAGAGCAGCAGATGATGGCAGGGGGCTCATCCCCGAGCAGCACAGTAACTGGCACTTCCTTTCAGCTTTGGTCTTTTTGAGCTTGGACTTGTTCAGCCTTTGCCTGTATGTCAGCCAGGGGGAGAGGTGAGACTTGTGGCAGGGCAGTGTCTGCTGGAGGAAGCACTGCACCGCCTTCTGCATCTAGTGAGCCCAGTGGCCCCACCAAGGAGAAAGAGCTGGGAGCGGAGATGGGGCTGGTCGGACGGTGTGGCTGTCAGCGGTCCTCTGCAGCCGAGGATTCGGCTGGGGGGGGGCTCAGGCTGGCTCAGGTCTGGCAGTTTTCACCAGCCGAGTGCTGTTAGCAGCATACATGCCGCAGCCTAGTGACAGGATTTAGCAAACCTGTTTGGTTTGCACAGGAGAGGCTTCTGAGATCTCCGGAAAGATTCCACTAGGACCCGGAGCGGTCCCCTTGCGTTTCTGTGAAATGACCGTTGTGGAGGGTAGGAACCGTCCGTCAGCCGACTGTTGAATGTCCCCTCTCCTGACGGGATGAGGCACGTGAAGCAGCTGCTCGGTGCCACTGCCCCCAGGCAGGAATCTGAAATGACTTTGTCGTCCCCAGCTCGCAGGGGTTTTAGCTGCAGCGCTGGCTGTCAGTGCTCCTCCTAGGAAAAGTGATCCCCAGGAATGCTGCAGCTCCCTGTTCCACCGGCGCTGTAGCAGTGCATCCTGCTGCTAATGCTGGGGTCGTTTTCACAAAGTACGGGTTTTTTCCTGTGATACGTAAAGACAGAACGTGCGTAGGGTGACTCCAGCTATTAGCAGCTGTCACCGGCTTTGCAGAACCTTGATGGAGGAGGAGGGAGTTTCTCAGGACAGCGAAGAACATGCTTCTGCTTGAATTTTTTTTTTTTTCCTTTTCTTTTTTTTCCTGTTGTTGTTTCCACTGCAGACTGTTTTCAGGTAACCATGGGTGGGTGCTCCCAGTGTGTAGCATTACACACCACCACCCTGACTGGAAAGATGACAGCGCTCAGAGCATGTAGGCACTTGTAAAGCATCTCGTCCTCTTTGTTTTGAAAGGAACAAGGCAGGTCTGAAGTAGGCCGGGCAGGGTTTAAAGCCTTGCTTGTGTGCTGCTTTTTAGCACTACCGGTAAGACGTGTGGCTTGCTCAGAGAGGAGTCAGCTGCTCAGTAGTAGTACCCGTCTGTCCTCTGGAAAAGGCCCAGCCGTCGTCCCCTGTGTATCAGGTTTGGTAACTCGGGAACGTTTACACACCTACAGCGCGTGCAGGCTCTGCTCCGAGTGGACGCTTTGCAGTCATCTGTTTCCTAACGACAGCGAGGCGTCTCATACTGTTGATCATTGTTTTCATTTCATACATTGCAATACCCACTGGGCTGTATCTGAATTACGTCTGCAAAGTAAACACGCCTCATTTTAAGCAGTCAGCTTTAACATTTATTTTTTCATAATCACATCCATCTTCTTCTAGGCTTTAGAAGGATACGTTATTTACAGTGAGGGATGCAAGTGAAACTGAAACGAGCCCTTCCTCCTTTCCCGTTCAGGGATGTGGGAGGTGAGACATCCTGCATCGTCAATGACATGTGACATGGGTATCCTTCTCTAGATCCAAAAGAGGGTTTGTTAGATTTTGGAGAATGTAATTTTCCCTTCATATTTAATGGTATATGGGTTACTGAAATACTGTATTTGGTTTTGTCTACCCTTCAGTCCCTTGGTTCTTACATCTCAGAGTACATTTATAGAATATTACTATATATGTACTACAATAATTTGAGTCAAAGATCACTCTCATCTATATTTACAGAGGGGAAGTGAGGCACAAACTTCCCAAGATCGGAACAAGCAAGGATCTGAGTTCAGGTCTGAGCTCCCTCATTAGCCTTTTAACTGTTGGCCTAAATCATTTGGAGAACACACTGCAAAGAGCAGTCAGTGTGTGAACGTAGAACTTGCCGCCGCAGGAAGGTAAAGGCGTCAGCAGGGCAGAAGGCACCTGCAGAGACACGAAGAGGTGGAACAACCCGGGAACTGTATTTCCTGTTCTGGTGGTAGCAGACAGCATAGAGAGTCGCGCTGTGGTCTGGGGCTGCGTGAGCGAACCCGCCCGTGCGAGCACTTTGTGTGCTGGAGCAGTCGTACCGAGAACCACCGCTGCCTGGCCTCGCAGGCTGGTGGGGCAACGCAGTTTCATCATGGAAACCTGACGCTGCGTGATACAGTTTAGTACCTAAACGAAACAAAACGTCTTTAATGTCTGTGTGTGCTAGAGAGAACAAATCGATTTCCCCCAATTAACTTTTAAAGATTGGAGAGCGAAAAAGGGGCAGAATGAGGTAGAACAGCCCAGGCTGCCTATGTGTCAAAAGTAAGTTTTTGGAGAAGAGCCGTAAGCTCTTCTGTTATTAAACACGTAATTGTTCTTTTAAGATGCCTCTTGTGTGCGACGCAGCGGCTGGCTTGCATGATGCAGTGACTCTGTGTAACACCTCTCTCCTTTTCCCATCCCCACAGGCATTAGCAGTAGGTGGACTAGGTTCCATAGTAAGAGTTCTTACAGCAAGAAAGACTGTTTAAAAGACTATTAGCTTGAACCAAGACAACGATCGATTTTGGACTCAGAAGAAGGAATCAGCTGAAATGACACTGGTCCATCTTTATTAGAGATTGCAATCTACTGAAATACTATGGAAACCTCCTCTTGGAATGCTTTTAACCTTAAAGGTGGGGGAAGAGTAAAGGTATTCCTGCATATTCCGACTATCAAATACAGGAGCCAAGACATTCTCCTGATCCCTTCTTTAAAAGGCAGAGAGAAGGCACGCTCCTCCCTCCTACTACTGTAAGTGAACAGGTATTTTCAGATGCTGCTTTATCAAAGTGTGGTGATAAAAGACCCTGTGTGTACTGCTTATTTAAGAGGTAGCTGTGTCCTTGGCAGATGCAAGATCCCGACAGCTTACAGGCAGGAGAAGTGCTTATTAGACTGATGGTTTTGTACGTATGGTCGAAAGACTAATTGGACTGTGGGGTTGGTTTCATTGTAAAGTGCCTGCTGCATCAATAAAGTTCTTGGATCACATGAGTTAGTAATTTATTTTTCGCTAAATTGTAAGTTTGACTTATTCAAAAGCAGGCCAGCAATATACCAATTCTAAGCTAAGTGTCCACCTTTGCATGAATGCTCTTAACTCCAACCATTCACAGAATTTGTCCTCAAATCCAGCTATGCTGGTTGCAGGGAGTGAGACCAAGCTCAGCTGTTCCAATCAAGGCTTCTAAGATGCAGAAACTATAATACATAATCACCCATGGTTTGATTTTATATTCTTGTCCATCCTAGAAAGTCAAGAAAATACTTCAGAACTTACTAACTTATTTATGTATTAGTGCGTCCTCACCTCCTGCAGGACTGAAGTATAGCAAAATGAGCTGCTGCCTTTGAGTCAGTATGCACAGATGTTTCATCCTTGATTTGTCCAGACAGAAGGACACAACTACTCAGACCACTGCTGTCTCCACCATCAGTTACAGCACCCTTGGCAAGAGCTTTGGGGTTGTGCAGCATCCCTCTGGGGCTCGGCTGGCAGCATGCGCCATGAGTCTGGCAGGGTTATCTGCCAGGAAGGAGCCCTCCTTTTGGCACAAACGAGCATACTCCAAGTGAAGCAGCTGCTCAGAAGGCCCTGTTCCATTCAGTCTTTGTTTTTATCAGCTGCTAAGAGTGCAGCAGCAGCTGTCCCTGGTGAGAGATGATTTTAGGAGGTAGAAGCACTCTGCCTCATTCCTGGCCTAATGCCCTATGAGAAATAGGGGCCTTAATAACATGGCTGACATTCTTACCATGGGCAGAAGGTGGGGTTTGTTTCATGCTTTAAAATCTCTCAATTTTTAATAGCTATAGCATCCCAGTGGAGATAACCAGAACTATAAAGAGAAAGAAATCAAGATTAGGGTTTTGATCCAAAATGTATTGCACCACAAATTTCATAGTGTTTCATAATACAATCCATATTTACAGCATAGAAGGAAAGAAATCCAATGGCCATAGAAAGGATTATGTATACCACTGTTTTTATACAAGGGAAAGTGCATTAGCTTTTTAATATATGTACACACACCATTCTTGCTCTGATACCGAAAGAAAATTCAACACTTAAGAACTAGTTCTTCTGGTAAGTTGATCCTGTATGAGCTTTGGGATCTTAAATTGAAGTTGTGTTAGTGAATATATAATCTAAGACTTTACGTTGTCACTCCTTATTCTAGGCTGCCTGTACTGCTTTTCTTACTGTTCAGCAGTAACTTTTCAAGCCAGGATCAACATAAACTGATTAGTCATTCAGCAGGCATCGGCGTGAGTAGAGGGAGTCCTGTCCCGTGGTCTTGGGTCCCACAGAAATAGGCCAGGGCAAAGGGATATTCTAAAGAAAAAGACCTTGGAGAATAAAATCTTCCCAGAACCAACAGGGTTATCCTGCCCTGCTCTGTTTCAGTACAGGAGCAATGGATATAAACCCACTTCTTGATTGTCTATTTTCGTATTAGAGCAGAGCTGTGCTCTTCCCACAAGCTTCCCTATGGTATCGTTAAGTGCCATGGATCAGGTTACTAAAGACTGAGTTTGGACAAGCTTTAGTGTACTAAAAAAATCCTGTTGGTTTTCTTAACTTTAAATAAATACAACCTAGCTCTAAACTGAGGAGTGTCACTTGCGCCAAGGTAACAGCTACTGTGAGTACCTGTCTCTGGGATATGGCTGATGAACAAAACTGGGGAGGTCAGGCAGGGTATAGACTTGCAGCACTTTTACCGCTCTGATAACTGACCTCACGTGGAAGGATACTTTCATCTCTACCACAGCATGAGTGTGCATGGAAGCAGGGAGCAGCTCACGTGCTGTAACTCTAACACTACATCTTGGCTGCCACCACCAAGGTCATTCAGACCCCTGGAGGCAAAGCAAAGTTAAAAACCTGAACAGTGACTGTATCTCCACTAGAGGACAGGTTGAATTATCTTGAAGACATTTAATAAAACCATTGTTAGTAACACAAACCTCATCATAAGAGAATTACCAGAATTGCAGCCTGCTCATCGAATTCCATACGTATGTAGTTTTTTGGAAATATGTCCCATTTTTAAGAAGTCAGACTTACTGCTGCTTCCCATTTTCAAGAAGTCAGACTTACTGCTGCTTCCCATTTTCATCTAGATTTCGCAGTGGTGGTAGTAACTGTGGGCAAAATTGTGCTTCCACTCCGTGAGGCAAGTGCCACCTTGGTCCCCTTTTCTTAAGGGGGAAGGAAAGCAAGCTGCTGGAACCAAGATTTATTCATTAAGAGTTGAATTTTGCCCCCAAAACCAAAAACCTCATGAGCAGCATTTCTTTTACCATGTAGTTAGGACACAGTTAACAGCCCACTACATGTTCATAACAGTTTTTAAGCATTGGTATTTGAAGTACAGAAAACCACAACCAAAGAGGCGGATACTGGTTATGAAGATTTGTTGCTAGCAGAAGAAAAAAAAATAAAAATCAAGGTGTTTAGTACCAATATTCTTCACCCTTTGTCACTATTTTTTTTTTTTTTAAATAAAAGGTATTCTCACTGTGCATTTACAATACCTGGAATCCAGCTTTAAAAATTTAAAATTGTTTACTACCCCTTCTTCCCAATGCTAACAACCTATGGTACAGGCTAATAGATTAGTTTTCAAGGCGACTGAGTATTAGGTACTATAATTAAGACCATTTTAAATATTATTTTTCTTTAAGAAAAGTAAAATCAGACAACTCTAAAGTTGTGCTCTCAAATTAAATAATCATCAACATGCAGCCTTCAGGACTGCAGGCCAGGATATATGCACCTTAAATTACACAGTGATATGAAAAAATGCGAACTGTTAGTTATGTCAGTATAACAAGGCAAGGCAGATTTCTTTTTTGGTTAAAGCTCCTGCTCCTGTTCTTTGAAAGGCTTTTCAAACTGTCAAAAACGCAATACAGCACTGCCAACATTTTTTTTTTTTCATTGCTTGCTTTCCACAGTGAGACAAGGAAGCTTTACTGTGCCTAGAGTTACTCAACTCTAGCCCTCCATAACAGAAGCTGGAATCACCATCATAACAGATGCACGCGTTAGAAGCTTGAACTGCCAGCACCGGTATTAGTGAGGTTAACATTACCCTTTGGTGCCAAGAAAACAAGACCGAGGAGCACAAGGAGCTGACTTCCGTTAAGAGACCACCGAGACAATGGTCCCCAAATCCAACCCAGAAGAGGTGTTTCAGTTTGTAGTGAAAATTTCTCCTTGCACAGTATTAGTTTTGTAAACAGCGTCAAAAGTTCTTGTACAAAATACTGCAATGACAGTGATTAAGACACACCTGAATTAGTGTGTTCAGCGTTCTTTTCACAGAAAAAAGTGGCTAGATGCTGACTGCCATTTTCAGGTTTCCTTAAGGCCACAGTGTCCTTGGGCTTGAGATCGACGGCCGGATACTGCCTTTAGGAGATGGCTTTGACCCAAACCATGACATCTAGGACAGGAAAGCACAATACACATTATGCTACGTTCACACTTTTAAGAAGCTGAAGATTCAAAAAAGAAAGAACATGGTACATAGGCATCTCCCCATCATTTGATGGAAAGAACTATTTATAAAACAGAATGCTGCAGACTTCAGCCTGAAGAAGATCGTTTCACACAATCAAATCTGGAAGAAACAGCATCCATTTTCCACAAGTGAAGCTGACTGAAGATTACACTTACATATATTCCTTTAAAATAATTACAAATTACAAATCTACAGTCATTTAAACACAGTACCTTTAGTCAGTCTAGTATTAAACTGTTCCCCGAACAAGAAGGCAAGGCGATCTCCCTCAGTTGCAATCATACGCAGACTGAACATGTCCAGCTTACTGAGTGGGCAGAGATGAATGGAGGACATAGAAGGAACTGAGGCAGCATTCATTTATGAACATTCACTAATAACCACATAGCCAGGGACATGCAGGAGATCTCATTTTACGCAATGGAAAGGAGAAACAGGTGTCTAAGCCCAATGTCAAAACGACAAACCAAGAATTTGGCTTCCTGCTTTTAAACATTTGACTGTACTCCAGCAAGGAGCTTCTAGCTTCCCTCCACGGACTGAGTCCAATGGGCAAAACTGTTCTGTTACTCCTTCTCTGAAGCACTGGAAAGTATTTCCCTCACTGAAATGGACAATTTCCGACATGTATGTATGTGATTACCTAACATTTTAATAATAAATTACATTTATTATTGTAACTAAATTTTGGAAAAGATACTTTTCATGATCTCCCAGCATCTAAGAATTTTCATTCCATCTGCTGGGAGTCCCGTTAGAGACTACAAGTGGAACAGAACCCTTACCTTGTACTCTAAAGTTTCTTTAAGCATGTTTTCTTCCTCTTGTGAAAAATTCAGTAACACAGATACAGCTTTAATTAGATGGAATGCCTGAAAGAAACCACAGTGTTTTGTTGCTTACGATGCTCTCAGGGCTCTACATTCTGGACTATGGTGCAGCACAGTTTTTCTGTAGGTTTGGTCACAGACTTTCTAGTCACAACTGTGAAGCTGCGAACAGCAGCCTTCCGTTATCCCCAGTTCCAAAAGACGAGGATGGCCTGTATCTTATTTCTTCTGTTTGTGTTTCCTGGCTTTCTGTTCTTTAATATTGGTTTACATATTTTTGGGAAGAGGACAAATGGGGAGCCTAGTTAGTTAGAATAGAGAAGAAGTTTGGCTCCTATGGCATCCTAGTTTTTTTAAGCTTTAAGTTGATCAAACCAGCATGTAGGCAGGAAAGAATCACGCCGTTTTAAATATACACTTAAGTGTATTAACTCTATAGTACTAATATTCTAAATGGGACACACAATGCAGAGTAAGAGAGTCAAGCGCTCAGGATACCACGGAGTCGCACAATTATCTCTTGATCTCACCCACTGACTTGCAATTAAGCAACGTTGGCATGACTTTTTTTACCTTTAACTTTTTTGACACCATGTGGAGAATGTGAAGGAGCTCCAAATGCACAAGGAATTACCTCTTACCGATCAACAGCAAGTGCTTTGTGTCTTTTTCTTGGGTTTTTTTGCTGTCTTTCTTAAATGTACAACCACTCTAATTACATACTCCACGTATGTTTTTTAGAGTAGTGCAGAGGGAATGTCTTGTAGCTTCAGATCTTTAACTTCCAGACATAACTACCTCTTAAAAATTCACATTTCCCTTTCATTTAGTTCATAATAATCTGTACTTCCGAACATATCACTGTTAGCTATTTTGCTTCATTGTGCTGAATCAGTCAACAACTTTTTGAGTATAAAAGTATGGAACTGGCATGGAAGCGTCCTTAGCAGGCAACAGGTGGCAGTTTCTAGAGAAAGACGGACTTAGAAAGAGAAGGTAAGTGTACATCTTTACCTCAGATTCCCGGCAGGACATGAATTTTAGTACAACATGTTTAAGGTATTCAAAGTTTATCTCCCTTGAGTCATTTAAATCAGAGTTGTTTGTGACAGTCACAGAAGCATTAGGCACTTCAGAATTTGCTTTTTCACGTACTTCAGGTACTTCACTGTCAGGCCTTATTTTCTAAAAAAAGAAAAAGAGAAGGACATTGTAGACTCTGTCAGTTTGACACTGGGAGAGGATCCGGGTCCAAGATATCTAACACCGAGGGCTTGTATCCACAAGGTGGGTACAACCTGGGCATCAACAGGACAAGCTTCTCATCCTTCACGGGATCACAGCAGAGAAGTGTCTTCACCGCTCCCTAGACTCTAGGACAGAAGCTAGTTGCTGTTAGTGTTACGTGTACATTACCCAAACCAGCATGGAACTGGCTCCATGGTAGAAACTATCACCTGGTAATTTTCTTTTATCACTAACTTGCTCTGTGCCTTTCAAACATGGGCTTTCTCCAAACAATTTTCAAGCTCAGAACAAAAAGAACAATATCAGAGTATTTAAAACCTCTTAATTCTTTTAAAAATAATTTTTTATTGGAGAGAAAAACTATTGTAAGAGGGATTAAAGGGGAGCTTACCCTGGGGCAGATATCACTCCCATGGTAAAACTCAGCTGAATGGCAGCTAAGCAGCAATCAAACCTCAGTTGTTCACTCTACAGAAATGTATTACATGCCCAAGATTACCAAATACAGGTCTTCTGTAGCTAAAATTCTCTGTTGTAAGAGCTGAGTGGTGATGGCTGCCTGTGTCACACCATCCGTTCAATAAATGATCCAGAATAACGTAATTCCTTAATTTAAGGGTTCATTGATCTGCCTGCAAACAAAAGGAAACTGCAGACATCCCTAGTAAAAAAATTACACTCTAGCTAGCAGTCAAGCTTTTGGAATTAGTAGTGCAAGTAACTGTCAGTAAGTGCCAGCTGAAGAGACTGAAAAACATAACCCTTACCAACTCTTTCTGGAGGGTTTTCTTGAGTTCTGTCATTCTTTGCTGTAGCTGCTTTATCATCTGTAAGCAAAGCAAAGGTTAGTGTTCATACAGTATTCATTGTCAGGACACATTTTGAACCAGAGATACCTGGAAAAACCCATAACAAACAAGTGTAATGAATGAAACAATCATTAAACAATGTTGATGGCTCTGAAGAAACAATCTGAATGTCTTGCCTTTCTAGCTCCACACATTAGCAGGCATATGACAGGATACTTGGGCTTTCATGTGGCAGCACAGTGGAAGTGAACTGAATTCACACAAAAGGGCTCTGCAGGAAAGCTGTAAACGGTACCATTTGGTGCATCTTTCCTCTAAAATAGGCAAGGATTCCTACAATTCTGGCTGCAGTTTTTATCCACTGTTGCTAGACGCTTGTACAATCCAGAGGAAAAAATTTATTCACAGCATACTGGATTCAAATTGGATCTGCCATTTTGGTAAGCCTGTCCTTCTAAGGCTGCAGCATGGGCAGCACCAATTATTAGGCTTCCTAATTAAAAGGGGAAAGACTAACAACTGTTTCTGTTGTTTCAGTTCACCTTGTTTTTCTCAGCAATTTGCTGTTCCAGCTCTCTATTATCTTTCTGAAGTTGAATGACGTCTGCAGCTGCTATGTCTCCATTCTGTTCCACCACACAGTTTTCTGGAGAATGTAAATGCTTGTTGTTCAAGGCTCTAGTCGATTCCTCTAGTTCTGAAACCTATAAAAATTAAAAGAGTGAATTGCAGAGACATCATGACATTTGCAGCCCATGAAGACTCCACAGGGAGAGAGCTAGACTTCTTTTTGGTTGTTGTTTTTGGGGTGGTGGTGGTTGCTTTTTTAAACCAGAAAGCATTAGTGGCAATCTAGTTGGCTATATCTCTCACTGGCCTGCTTATTGCTTGTGGGTCTCTCTCATTAGTTTCAAAATGGTTCTCTCAAAGACATTTTATGAGTCAAATAAAATAAGGGGTTGTCTTTCATAAACCAGTCACAGATCTGACAGGAAACAGCTTTCTTTCGGAAGACTGGGAACCACAAATAGTGGTGGTCTACACTGCTGGTGTTTCAGGTCACGAGCAAGTTGTAAAGTAAACAGTTCCAAGCACGTATCACCAGACACGACAGAAACGGGGTCTCTTGCACACCTGCTTATTTTCCTGAGAAGTCTGAACAGATCAGATTTGTGACTGCACTCACATTTTTCTCATGTTCTCTGGCCAACAGGCACTCCTGTATCTGCAACTTCAGTTCATCAATTTCCTTTCTTGCCGTTTCTTCTTTCTCCACTGCTCGGCTATTACTTGCTTCTATGTCAGATTGCAACTGATGCATTCGCAGCAAGACAGCTTCATGATCTGAGAAAGGAGAGACCTGCTTAGTATCAGTCTACTGAATCAAATGGGAGTTTCCAATTGTTTTTCTTAAACAAAGCAAGTTACAGTGACAGTAAATCCTGACCTTTTTGCCTTGCTCTGTCGTAAAGACAGAAAGATGATGGAATTTAAGCCACCCAAGCTCACATGCACGTTTTTGCAAAGGAGCAGCCTAACTGTCTGAAAGTCAGAGTGATTTTAATACTTAACAACATGATTATCAATTATACCTCCTCTAAAAGACCCCCATCAAAAGTCTGTGTGACTTCTGCTGTGACTGCACAGGAAACACTTGGGGCTGAGATGTGAGCACAAATGGCTAGCTGGCACAAATGGCTACCAACACATGGCTAGCCAATGGAATGGTGCAACAAGAGCTACGGTTTTGTTCCCTTTCTAAATAGTGGAAACACGGTGGGTTAGGAACTGAATGAAGATGACTGCACTTCATTTTTAGTATGACTGTGGACTATCAGTTTGCAGCTGATCTTTAAGAATGTAAATAATCTTTCAATCAAGTGCAGTTTTTAAAGTGCAATGAAGTAGTAGTTTTTAATCTGTATCATTTATTTCATGTTTTGCGCAAAACAATCATTTACAAGAAGTACAGCAAGATTTGTTATTTTATGGTGTATAAGCGTAAGACTGATTTAAAAAAAGTGGTTTTGTTTTTAAGGACGCAGTAGAGAGACTGTCCAATTGTTACTGCAGGATACAAGATTTTGAAAATTCTAATAGATTAAATACGGACGAGAAATCTAGAATTATTACAATCTATCAGGCCAGCTGAGAACTAGACACTGTACTTAGATAAAGCTGTCTGGGATACAGTAGACTCGTTTGGTCTAACCTTGACTCAGTTGGTTTAGTTCTTCCTTCTGTTTTAGAAGCATATCACATTTTTCCTCAATCAGCTCGTCTTTTTCCTTTATTAAGGAAGCCAGATGTGAAACCTTCAAAGCAGGCAAACAAACAAACAGAAGTCATTAAAGATATAAAACTAGAAGAGGGCATTGAAAGATTTCAACATACCTCAGAGGTGCGGATATTTTGTGTGTGTGTGTGGGAAGGACTGGAGAAGAATTCTTTTATCAGTGACAAGGGCAGTGTCTGGTATCTACAACTGGCAGGGGCTGCCTGAACTCTGTGCTAGGCAATACAACACCTTGAAGAAGTGGTTTGTGCAGCATTAGTGTTACAGATAATACAGTGTGGATGTCTGTGATATATTCAGAGACTCACAGAAGGCATCACCTCTACAATGCTGACCTCATTAAAAAGCACTGAAGTCAATGCGCTGTAAGAGCTAAAACACACTTCGCTTCTGATAAACTCTGTGCCACAATTACAGATTGCCTCATAACCAGCAGGTGGCAGCTGCAAAACAGCCGCTGAGCAAAACCAGAGATCACCTTATACCCCTTTTACATACAGCTGGACTAAGCAAGCACAGATCTACAGCAGTCCCAGAAGAATAAAGAAACCAAAAGATGGGACTGAATTCAGTCAAACTTGCTCTGTTGGCAGTTCCCAGCTTAAGCAAACACAAGCTCACATTATCCACCATGACCATTTTTAATAAAAGAACAACAAAACAAGACTACCTAGAATTTGTATTTCGTTACTGGATACAACCTCCTCCCTATGAGGAAATTTACAATTTTAGAACTGCTGTGCTTCAGAGGGACAAAGGTGCGATGTAAGTGCTGAAAGGAACAACAACAGAATGAATAGATTTCTTCAAAACAAACTGCCAACTAGCCAATGGCTCAAGATGGCTGGCCCACTGGGACTATGCACCATCTTACAGATTTAAAGGGCTCTGCATTTGAGCAGAGAAATGTATTCACTTGCTACTACCTGGTCTTCCCCGCAGTTGTTCGTATTCAACTGCCACAACCTGCCGTAACTCTTGAGCCTACAAACTTACAAATATCCTTAACTTTGCAGTCAGCAGCATTTTACATTCTTCCAATGGAATAAGTCACCTAAGTTGATTACATTCTTGTGCAGGCATTTATATAGACACCCTTCAGTTTCAAGTTCACTGAGGCAACCACTGCTGTCTTGCATGCTGAGGATATGATTCTGATTATCATAACAGTCAGGAACACTAATTAAGTCCAAATCTAGTCCGGTCTGTGCCTGGTTGGGAGCACCCAAATATATTTTAGACTGTTGATATTAACCAACCTGCTGTTGTAATTCCTCTCTTTGTTTTCGTGTTTCTTCCAATGCTTTGGCAATTTCAATGCTGACAGTCTCTCTGCTGCTCAATTCATTCTGCAAACCAAAAGTAATTGAGAGGTTACTCGAGACAACTAAAAGCAGGTCAGTCTCTCATCTTTAAACGCAAATCCATTCGCAATGAGGATTTATGGCTGTTCTAACACACCATGATTTACGCTTCCAAATGAGAGTTACTGTTTTGTTTTACTGCACTGCTGCTATCTGCACATGCAAGAACACCACTGAACTGATGTAAGAGGCCAAACATATCTAATGCTTAAAAGATCTTTTAGCTTGAAGTCTCTATTACGAAGAAGTAGCTCCTTCCTACAACTGATCTTTATTCCAATTGTGCATCCAAGAGTAGCTACAGAAAAAACTTTCAACAATCTAAAATTACAGTCAAAAGACTGAGTATAAGCTGTAAATACCTGACCAACTTAAGTTTCTAACTTTTGTTTTGAATGCTGTGAATGGAATTTGATGTTGAACTATTCTGTATTCATTACTGCTAACAGGATTTAAAAGCTCTTCATGCCTGACAATATGGGAATGTATTATTTTCTGCCCGATTCAGGCAGACCCAAGCATTCTGTTTCAGAAAAGGATCAGCCATTTGTAATGCTCCTCAAATGCATTTCTACTGAGTACCAAAGATGATTTACAGCTGTAAGTACATGCAACCCGAATGTAATGTGACTCCAAGTACTGAGAATGTAATACACTTTGCTGCTCACTGTTTCTCAAACTTGGCTCTGTATTTAACCACCACTAACCAATTAAGCCCTTACCTGTATTCTGCTCAATTCAGACTCTTGTTTTTTTAAAGAACTCTCATAATCTTCTCTGCTTCCATTAAGATTTTCATTTTCCTTTTCCAACTGGCTCTGTAAAATAAAGATTGCTTAAATACTAAGCACAATTATTCTAATGCCTTGTTTAAACAATGAAACACATCAAATGCTTTGTTCATATTTAGTTTCTCAGAGTATGAGATCATCTATTATAATGCTAGGAGCGCTGAATAAGAACATTCAGACAACACGTGAGGTCTACAAGCTGTGTTAAAATCATTTTGTGAAGACTCACATGGCCCACTGAACAGTTTCTCTACTTACAATCTTGTGCTGAGTAGCTGTTTTATCAAATTCCCAAGCTGTTTCAAGAGCAGCAATTTGAGACTCCAGCCCAGTAAGTTTCTGATCATACCGATGTTTCTCACTTAAAATCTGTTGCTGTAGTTTACTTCTTTCATCCTCTAGATTAGTTTGCTTAAGAGAAATAAAGAACACTACGTTAATAAAATGGTATTTTGAAGCTCTGACAAGAATTGGACACCACTCCATGTGACATACACTCAAACTGAAGCAACACTATTCCTTTTGGCAGCAGCGTCATGTACTCATATACAGGCACTTGTTTAGGAGACAAACAGCAAGAAAACACTTGAGTAACGAAACGAACACAGAGAAATTAGTCTCTCTGGGGATGCTGAAGACTGATCTGCTACTGGTCAGTGAAACATCATGCAGCATACTCACCAACTTCTGGATCTTCAGATCCTGCTCAGCAGCTGCTTCTTTGCTCTTTTTCAATGTTTCTGTTGCAATCTGCAGTTTTTGTTCCAGTTCTTTATTCTAAAATATAACCACACATTACATTCCTTATCCACTGGCATCTACATTATTAGAAAAGAGGTACAAGAATGTGGAATGACCCAGCAGAGGAAGGTAAACATTAAACCACAAAACCACATAGTTCAGAGAGACTGCCTACTTGACACGTGCTGCTTTTAAAAACTCTTCGCCACACCACTAACCCCCCAGCAATGCTTGCACTTCAGTTGTTTGTTTCTTAGAGATTTCATGCATATCTTCCCTATCCTAACTTCATAACCTCTAGGCCCTTCTCCACCACCAAAGGTGGAGAGCTGACCAGAGACATTGATCAATTAGACTTTCCTTTCAAGACTAAATGTGACATGTAGTCTCACCTTTGGCTGACAGCAGAAGTGCAGTGAGGGGAGGAGGTATAGGGCATAAATAGGCTGGAAACAGTGGGAAACTGTGGTGGAAACCCCCCCCACCCCCCCAAGCCTTCCCTGTGTTTCCAATCGGCTCACAGTCTCAGCGTGATGCGTTCTGTCTGTTAGTACCTGCTGCCTGGTTTCATCCAGTTTCTGCTCAAGAGTAGCTTTCTGAAGATTATATTGAGATGAAGAACAAGAGGAAGGATGGACAAAGAGAGAGGATTTTTTTTTTTAATTAAGATTTTCCTTTATATTTCATTAATAATGTCAAACTAAAATGAAACAGTTATTTTGATGTGCAGTACAGCTTTGCTTTTGGGAACCAGCAAGTTTGATGTGACTGCATACGGCCTCCACAGATCATGTTGCCCTGGGGATGACATCATTAATATTAACAATGGGAAATTCACTGTCATCCTGCCATGATCCAGATGTAAACTCTAATCAGCAGCCAGGTCATAATTTTCTAACCCACGCCAAGTTTAAGGGATTAAAAAAAATTTTTTTTGAAAGCTTAACTTCTCCTGCGTCACAGCAAACACACAAAGAAGGTAAAACATTTGCTAGTTATGGTAGTTACTTTCCAAAATGTTTTACTACCCCTGCATGGACTTTACACTGGCTCAAGTTTACTAAGCCAAGTTCATTTATCATAGCAACATAGAGTTGATGTGTCTTGCAGGCAAGCCTGACCAAGGAAGAGCAGATCTTCCCTTGTCTGCCCAGGACTCAGCTGGGGAAACACTGCTCCAAGCTGATTCTGAACAGGAGCATCGGTGCTTGAGAAAGAGATCGAGAAGTAACGACAGAAAGGGCACTGACCAAAGCCAAGTTCTTTGTTTTCAGCTGTTTCTTAACACTTCTGAGGCCCAAGCTTTCAACATATAACATTCTGTTTGTACACCTATGTGCAAAAACAGTTCCCCCCCTGTCCCAATGCTTTGCAAGTCATGATAATAGAAGACAAAGAACACGGAAAAGTGTGCGCTGTTCTCTGGAAGGATTAACCAATAAAACTCTTAAATTGTTCTACCTCCTGTGGGCATGTTAAAAAGTTGCTCTTTTGCTTCTAAGCAGTCAGATGCATTGCCTAAATGGACAATGCAGAAACACCAATAAAGACAGCTGTGCAACATCTACATAAACAGGCTCAATGTAGTCAACCACACAATTCTGTCCAGCACAGACAGTATGCCAATATACACTGAAGGCACAAATGTGCCTGCATTATGTTATCGTATATTCTTTCCATGTGTGGTAAGTAATGTATGTCCTAAAAAAATCTCACTAAGATTACACTTTTAAGCAGTCTATAAATGTATAATTACCTCCTTGAGTAGCTCCCGCACATGTTCATCCCCTGAAAGATTTCTTTCTAGCTTCTTTTCCAAGGAAGACACTTTTTCCTGCAGCTGTTCGGTAAGTTTATTTCTCTCAGCAAATTCAAAAGTCATCTGTGAGAACAAGAAATCACAGAATCTTTTTTGTAGCGAAGCTTTCATCTAATCCATTGTGGTTTGACCTTAAAAGTGCCACTAGAAAGAGAGTCCTATTTGAAAAGACAATATGATCCTAAAACACTTTCTAGGCACCAAATTGCAAACTCAGTGCATTACCCAAGTGTACACGTTTACACCAGCCAACAGCAGATGCATCTGAAAACACTTAACCTTTTGCTTGTGTTGTTCATATTCCACCTTCAGAGATTCATGCTCCACCTGTAACATTTCCAGTCTCTTCTCACAACCAGAACCAGCAACTCGAGCCTAAAAATTTTGAGAAATTACTTGCTTTGAAATTTAGATTTCCAAAAACACATAACTGACATCTAATCTAACTCCTGCAGACAAGAAGCTCTTTGAATCAAATCTCACTTAACTCAAACTTACATTTTGCAAGTCTACAGAAAGCTGCTGAATGACAGTTTGTAGCTCCTGTTCTCTTAACTCCAGAGCAGTGATCTTATTTTCTGCATTTGTCTCAGCTGTCATTAGTTCATCTCTTCACAGAAAGAGAATAAAAAAAAAGTTACATACTGTTCCAGAAAAATAATCTTTAGCAGATAATTCTGCTGCTTATGAAAATGGACTAAGCAATAACAAGATTTTCTCGTCCTAAAACCAGCCACTGCTTGATTATACATTTTCCAAAAAAAGTGACAGTTAAGCATTCAAACTATGAAAAAAAGAAATCATAACAAGCTTACAAAACTCTAAACAAGCACTCCTTTAATTGGCTTGAAAAGAAATATAAACTTGGCATTTACATCCACATTGGCATACCAGAAGCAATTATTCAGTCGGCTCACTACATGTATAAACTTTTCCAAAAAGACAGAACCGGGCATGAAGTAAAAGTATAGGGGAAATGCATACACTGCTCCTCACGAAGCACCACATCCGTACCTCTGTGCCTCTAGCTCCGAGAACTGCTGCTGCAACTCTTGAAGATCTTTCCTTAGGCCTGATGACTTGTTGCTTGCATCCTGAAGCACCTCTTTAGTGTGGGTCAGCTCTCGAGTGCACACCTCTAGTTCCTGCTCTGTTTTGCTCAGAGATTCTTCCTTTTTCAAAAGCTGAATATTAGAACATTATCTTTGACAATACAGACGACCTGATAATACTGATAAAATCTTCTCATTGAAACTTGTCTCTTGTATTAAGTTATGAGCTCAATTGAACGAAATAATAAATAACTCCCAGAAAAGCCCCTGTTGAAATAAACTATGTAATATTGCATGCATGTACCTACTGTTAGGATTTTGACACCGACCAAGACTGTATACAAGCATTAAGGCTAAGAAAATTAATGCAGAGCTACCACTAACTCGGTATTCTAACAGAAATTTTAGGAAAGAAAAAAAAAGTTTAAAATAATCTTACCATGTGTTTAACTTTGGCAATTTCCTGCTGCTGAAAGCCCTCCAGTTCATCAATTTCATCTCTTTTTTGAAAAAGGTTCAAACTCTGCTCCCTCATTTCTTGTAACTGCGTTTCAAGCATTTTTTTTTCCTGATAAACCAACAAAAAGAAGAGGAATCCAAGAATATCTGTACGCTCATTTCAAGTCAATGGGAGTTTAGTTAAACTCTCTGAGAAAGGAATCTTGTCTTGCAGCCATAAGGCGCTCTGATGGTGCTACATGTAGAACAAGAACCTCTTCCACATTCATGTTGCAGTAGGCAATGTGGAACGAATTACTGAACTTGAAAAATCTCAAAAAAATCCATATTCATTACAACGCAGCCAATGATCCCCTAACTGAACTCTTAAAAATGGACAACAAGCAGTAGTATGTTTAATGTCTTCATAATCAGAGATGCCTTAAAATAGACTAAGCTAAACAGCTAGAACAACAATAAGACTGAAATCCTGTATTGAAAAAATCCCTGCAAAATAAGTTTCATTTCTTTTATGAAACAGATGACCTACTGCAAGACCTCAGACGAAGTCACTACTTCCCTTCTGCAACCCAGCTGCCTCCTCTGTAATAAAGGAAACTATTGTTCCACCTTACAGAAGTGCATCTTTCTTTCTCATTGCAACCCATCATTCTTTACTTCCCCACTGAAAAATAATTCCAGAAATACCTCCTGAAGCACTGGGGCTGGTAACAAAAGCAAATGTCTGGCCTCTCCCACCGAATAAAGATCAGATAGTAAAAAGGGCTGAACACAGTTGAGCTGTAGGAAGTATACAGGCTGGTGTTTAAAAATACACACACACAAAAAAAAAACCCAGCCCCAAACCCCAAAACTTAATTACCTTTTCGATTTGACCCAGTTTTTCCATCCACTCCTGAACAAGAAAGAAGAAGAAAAATCAAAATCCATTTGTAGACTTTCAAGGACAGCAATTACAGTAAAAAAAAAAAAAAATTTGTACTGTTAACAGAGATACTAAGTTGTGGTAATGATTAAAAAAGTAATCAGCAAAAGAAAACTAACAACTAGTGTTTTAATATAAAAGCTGAGGAAATCGTTTATGCTACCTGAATAAGCTTTATGCAAGTAAAGTAAAATAAAGGTGACAACAGGTCTACTGCAATTGAATCTTACCAAACACACGTGCAAGCTTAACCTGACATTAGAAACTGTTGTGGGCTCTTTTTAAAAACAGTAAGAACAGTCAGAACAATGACAAGTCCTACACTGTTTCTGGCATTTGAACTTAACGCTCCCTTCTTTCCGCAATGTTGGCACACGAAGCATACACAATGCCGAACACCTATTTTAATTGATGGCAACACCTGCTTAAAACATCAAGGTCATGCACTCGGATCTCCAGACAGTCAAAAGTTGAGTTGTTCAAGCTCTGTTACCTGGTCCTTTTTTTCTAAGGCCAAAGCCATTCCTTCAGCCATCTTGGCTCGACTGGCCTGGTGAGCTTCATTCTGCTCCTGAAACTTCCTCATGGAGGCTATCAACAGAGAATCACCAGCTGTATTAAAAACTCATCTTTTAAAACTGCTTCTCAATTTTCTGTAAGTTATTTATAACTTTGAAGAGCTGCTTCTGCAAGTGATTAGCCCCATCTTGACTCTCTAGCACTAACGCTGTGCCACTTACTACCTCACACTGCTTGCACATTGGACAAATGCCAGAAGTAACAGAAGATAGCAGTACTGTTCCTCACTGGATTATAACAAAGCTGTAGGTTTCAAAAAAGTCTCTCCTGCATGTTAGCCCCACATTTGGCAAAAGGAGTATAACAACAACTTTGTTCAACAGCCAACACACTACTGCTGCTTTTTACACTGTAAATGAAGCAAGAACTTGTGTTCTAATTCTTCGCAACCTAGAGGTGCACAGTTCAAAAGGAAATTATTAAAACATCTATATATCAAACGCGTTTCCTTCCAACCATAACAGTTTTCAACTTAAAAAAAAAAAAAAAGGAAAAAGAAAAGTACGTACAATCCTGATGCTTTTCTAATGCATTTTCAAGCTTCTCTTTTATCTTCTGCAAGTTTCGGATCTGATCAGCATAATCTTGTGTGAGGAGGGAGAAGCACAGACCAGGAATGAACAGACATTGGGGAAGGAAATT